TAATGATTTTAAGAATATCCCTATCATTATTAATTTTAGTTCCACATTATTTTCTCTTAATTATATTTTTTGGTTATTCCACCACTATCCAATATTAAAAATTATAGTTTACTTGTCTAGCAGGCAAATTAACTATTCATCTGTATGTTGGAAACTCATGGCTTTGTAGTTTGGATTTTCCATTTGTAACATAATTACCTGATGTCTATTTTCTAATTTTATACCTATTTTAGTATTAAAAATTATTAAAGAGAAATTCAATATTTTATTTCAAAATTGAGATTACAAGCCTCACTGAGTTGGTTCAAAAACAAATTATTTGGAAGAATCACACCGCATTACTTAATGATTTTTTTTATGTTTCTTAATTTTTTTATCTATTATTTTAACATGTTTTAATCGTGACGGAGTTTAATCATGAATCAAGCTTTAGCAGCTTTATCATGAAAACAATACAACCCTCCTCATAGAATTTATGGATAATTACAAAACTTTAAAAAAAATAATCGTTGACATTTTTTTAACTCGGAGCGGGGACCAGCCAAAAATTCGATACTATCATCTTCACTTTAATAGAATAGCGCTCTAACCACTATTTTCGACATTAACCTGATTCAAATACAATGGTTCCACAATAATCTCAATAAATTACCTACTAACAGAAATAGACTAGCTTATAACATGTACAAACAGATTTTTCTTCTCCGTATTTGCAGAAATCTCAAAAAATCTAAAACATGGGATAGACAATACCGAAGCAGAGCCAGTTTTAAGACACGGCTGCGAAACCTGGACTCTAACTGGTAACGTAGAAACCAGAATCACAAGGAAAGTCTTCCTTACTAAAAGCGAAGTGATATTAGATTAGAGTCTTATGAAGCATTTTAAGCATAGAGGAGAAGGGTGAATAAAAATATTGCATCTAGTAACAGGTCAGTATATATTTCATGTTATTAAAACAATAACAAAAAAGGTTAAGATTAGCAGGGCAATTACCTCGAAGCAATCCATCGGTATGCCTCTTCGGAATACCCCAGTAGTTGGGAAGAAGCCACGAGGCCTAACACCTAATCGATAGATAAATAGAATCAACTAAGATGCAGGAAAACTGCATATAACAAACTGGAAAGTAGTAGTCAAAGGTAATTAAGGTGAGGAAGTCTTGTTTATGCTGCTATAGTTTTTCAAGGACTGTAGGGCCCATCGAAAAAATGTACCCAATTTGAGGTATCTGTATGTATGTGTATGTGTGTGTGGGCGGATGTATATATATATATATATATAAGATAAAGACCGGGGTTCGGCAGTATCAGCCTTAATACCATTATAGAATGTAAAAAATATTCGGTATGTATATAAGGAGGATTATTTTACGAATAAAACAGTAATGTTTCTGAAACCGTGAGTGTTGTATGTCGAACCGTTTCTTTATATTTTAGTTTTCCGTCGCATAACTTATCTAGGTATATATTGACGTTGGTATCTACGTCTCTTTCTCACCGCGTTTCTAAGGCGGGAAGGAGGTTTCAGATACTGCATTTATTCATATTTAATATTAATCTTTGATTTCTATCAGTTCCAGAAGAGAACCGACCTACTTAAAATTTATATCAATTATATACCACATAATTATATTTTATAATTATACTATATAAATAATTATACTATAATTATAATTATTATACTATATACCACAGACCCCCTGCTGTAATATACTAGATTAAAATATAATTTCCATTGGATATACATTAAAAAGGTGTCATGTTTACCATTTACTATTTTTATCTATATCTACGCGGTGGCATGCAGGGATATATACTAACGAATTAATATTTAATTTAAAAAAGTAATCTATTTATAATTTTAAACAACAAAAAATAATTGTTGAAGGAAGTTAGTCGACTAAAAAAAAAGAAAAACAATTTTGTACTATCATTATTGGACAATACTATCTAGTATGAGTATGACAATATATATCTAGTATGAGGGCTGATAGAAAAAACTATTATTTTTACTAGTTGCCAAACAAGTTTACAAAACAATTTCTGAATCAATATCATGACTTAGCTGATTTGTATAGTGGAGTCCTTAGCTATTTTTCCTGGAGTTTGGTATCGCCGTCATCTAGAGGTCTCATATTCTCTGGGCTGCTCGGCGCATCTCCTAAGTCCAGAACTACCCAATACCTCTGAATGTCGTTAACCGCTTGTCTCCAAACCTCTGACTTTAACTGTATCCCTGTCTGTCTCTCATTGACTGCTTTCAACTCTTGTCCTCTCCATCTACTAGGCTTGGTTCCTTCTTATTTTTTCTATTTAGCAATAGATTTTTCCGTTCTCTTTCTACTGGTACCTACAATTCGTAGCAGAGAGGGACTCCGCCTATCCTTTGTTCGGCTTTGTCGTTTCGTCTCTGGAAGAAAGATGTAAACCTTTTATATGTTATTGCACCCAAGTCAGAGATCAGGAACTAAAACACCATTAGTCTCACCTCCATCTCTTTCGTGGTATGCAGCAATCCTCTCACAAGTGTGTGAATTAGTGTTTATTGCCCCCTCTTACGTAGACAGTGCTCCGACCGGCCGCAAAAATTACAATGTTGCTTTCGTATTAACTAACCTTTCGATAAGGATGAAGTAAAATAAAATTGTAAAGCTATTCAACTGTGTTGAGTTGCTAAATTACACAGCACACTCTAGCTGTCCACTATAACTATGACTGTCTAGTGTACGGTGGACTCTCGGGAGAATTCGAAACCATACTTATTGTTTTCGGAACCTCAAGAGATACGCATATAACCCAGTATTACACTAAGTATTTCCAGTATTCCCTTTCTATACCAGGTCATCAGAACTCAGCAACCCTCATTTTTTTTTACAACCTACAATTTGAATACTCCATTCTATCCCGTCCCACTAGATTCTGTACTTCCGACCTCTATCCTAACCGAACTGCTGTGTTTGACAAATTCTATATAATCCAACCTGTTTCCCTCTGGAATTCTATCCCTCATGATGTAAGACATGTACAATCAGTTTCTTCTTTCAAAACTCACATCTTTAAATACCTACTCCTTTCCCAATCACACTGTTCATGAAATGTACCTAAAAAGAACTCTTTAAGTACCCCTAGAAACTATTCCGGTTTACTTATGTTATTATAGTTTCCCATGTTTGTTTTTTATATATGTATGCTTTTTCTTATATCTCTCTTTCTCTTTCTCTTTCTATCCGTATTTTTATTTTTAATCAACTATTATTAGTAGTTAATTTATGTATGACCATACTGGCATTGATTCTGTACTTATAATTTGTTCTAAAGGAACAAAAATAATAAAAAAATATTTTCATTTTTATACTGATCAGTCTTATCGATAATGAAAACAACTCAAAAAGGATTACTGTTTACAGAACTAATACAGTATTATCAATGCCGTTGAGTTCCCTTGGTCCATGAGGAATATAATTAAGTTGAGCGAGCGAAACCAAATCTGACCTTTTCTTTTTTTTTTTTAATTAAGAAAAACAAACCTGTTTCCTAAAGTATATAAAACGTTCTAATAAATTCAAGTTATTAGGAATCAACAATAGATTTTATTTATTGTTTTTCAGCCTTCGTGAAATAATCGTGTCAAAATTCCATGTTTTTATTAATTCTAGTTGTCAATAATGAAAATATTTTCCGTTATCATACCGATTTTGCAATTATTGGGGAGAACCGGGAATAGAATAGATCGCTCAGATATCATTAATGCGTGCCCCACCCACTAGCGGATCCAGGATTCAGTTGGGGCATGTTTTTTTTGTTTTTTTAATATAATCCAATTACCCTGGAAGAAAAAAAAAGAAAATAAACTATTAGAATGGCCTTTAAGTGGTAAAAAAAATATATATTTATCTTGACAGATGCTTGTAGACGATCTACAAAACAGAGAAAATAAATATTTTGTACCCAAATTGTTTTAAAAACCCTCACCAGATCTCACCGAATAATTTGAGTCATCGAACTAATAAAAATAAAAATAAATCGTCATATACCTTTTAGTTTTGGCGTAGTCGGGTAGTTATATGATTACTATTGATATAAATTGCTAAACCATTATTTGTTCAGCTAATTTAACATATTAATATCCCTTATTAACATTTATTATCAATATTTCTAAAATTCGTTTTATCGTGCCTAATTTCATAGCCCCTGAAGGTCATTTATCCTCCATAATATAAATTTCTTTGAAATTTATAATTCTTGAGCAAACATGTAATAAATAATGACATTATTGGCAATAAGTCGTCCGTTTAACATAAAACGCAAGGTGATGTTTACATATTATGTAGCGAATGATCTAGTTTTTCTCTTTTTATATTCCTACCCTCTTCAACTTTTTGGTGTAGTTTTTTCAGTTTAATTCCCTCCTATATTTGCGGCAGTAGTCCTTATTCTAGCATCTTCCAAGGTTAAACTTGGCTCACAAAAATAGCGTACTTCCTATCGCCATACTTTGCCACTGGCACGCTCATCATTCAAGCCTCTTTCATTCTCTGTATTCGATAGAAAAAAAACAACTAAAGAGGACAATATTTTTTGTTTAATTTTTTTCATGTAAAAGGTATCCTTATTTTTTTATTTTTTTGATATATCGAGTTGAGTGCAGATCACACCATCATATATTATACATTAACTTGATTTCAAAAGATAGATACTACTAATCCCCTCCTCTACTATAATATTTATTCGAAAATATTTATTCGGATTGCTTCGTGAGATGTCGATTCCATTATGTATTTTTTTTTTCTTTATATATGTGATCCTGGTATTTCGGCCCTTACGATACCTGAATTGGCTGAACGTTGGAAAGTTAACCACTCACCTATATGTTGGAGACTCGTAGTTTTGTAGTTAGGATTTTTCCATTCATACCATAATCAACTTATGTCTCTTTTCTAGTTTTATGCTTATTTTAGTCATATATGTAATCCCATTTGTAATAATTTTATTTTATAGTTTCAGTAGAAAAACAACAAAACAAATCATGGACATTGGAAGACGAGGACAGTGTTCGTTGGGTTTCCCAATTGATGCCTTTAGCTTTGTCCAACTTCCATCCGTGGTCGAGTAGAAATGAAGAATGCACGTCTCAAGGATTGCTCTACAAGAAGCACCTTAGCAACTTGACATTATGGGCTGTGCAAAGTAAGTTGCTAAATCCTTTATTTTATTTACCATTCATACTTTGAGGTCCAGAATATATTTTTTTCTTTTTCTTTGTTTTAATAATGTTACAATAGTTCGCCTGTAGGCAATAATATATGGCACAATATCTCAAAGAGCATTTCATTGATTTATTTTATGTATTATAGTGCTAGACTCTTCAGTTCTGGCGGAAACGGGTGTCATCAGCGGTAGCGATTACAATTTTGGAAATTACGACCAGTGTGTTAAAATCCATGTAGCTGAGTACAACCTGTACGGCAGGCATTGCATGGCCAACCTCCAGTTCGGACCTCGTTACTACAACGACACAGGGGGAGAGTCATTGCACTACACCACTCCAGGACCATTCAGCTCTGTTTGGGAGAAGATCAAGGTATTTAAAATTGTTTTAAAAGTATGTATATATTAAGCTTATTTATTGTTTAGATTATTTGCTATTATATGAGATATTTTCTATTGATGTACGAAGGGCTTCCCGTTAGTAAAGGGAAATATTTATAAGAGTGATAACAGATCTCAAGAGCTACAAAAAAAATTATACAAACAATGGTCCGATTTTCAGCAGAATGGTGGGAAATTTAAGTTTTGTGTTTTTTTATGTGTCGCGTTTTTTGACGAATAGGAAGTGATAACTAAAGAAATATTTACTTTAATAATTAGCAATTGCTTCACGGTAAACTAGAACCTAAACTAAACTAGACTTGCTCGGCCACCCCGGCAACTAATATTGTTTGGATTTAATAGAACCAAATTGTAATCAAGAACTTCCCCCTCCTCTCCGGTCAATGGTGGTCAACAATGGTCCGATTTTGTGCAGAATAGTACGACATTTAAGTTTTGTGTTTTTTTAATAAGGCACGGTTTTTGCTGAAAAGGAAGCGATAATTAAAAAAACATTTTATTTTACTAATTAACAATTGCTTCACTGTAAACTAAAATTTACTTCAAATGAAAATAGAGTTTGTCATTGCTAAAACAATTTAAAGTTAAGTTCTAGTTTTGAAAAAAATATAAATTATTTGTGATTTTTATTTATCCCTTACCAGCTAGCTATACTACAGATATCTCACTCTTAGAAAAACTTCCATGTATAATAAGCTTTATGTCTAACTTATTATGATATGAAATGAAAGTTTCAGTATTTTATTTTTGCCGAAATACGAGTACTTTTAGGGTACAAGTTTTCAAATCACCTCATTTTTTTTTATACAACTTGAGGCGAATCTCAACTTATTTCCTTATTAATCCTCAACTTAATTAATATGGAATTAAAGCTTATTAAACAGAAAAGTTTATATAAAAGTGGGATATCAGTATTTTATGATTAAGCGAGTAATTTATGATTTTTTCAATAACAGAACTTAGATTTATTTAGCCGCTCAAAAGGCTTCCATAACTGATTTTAATTATGACAAACTCTTATTCCATTTGAAGTAAATTTTGTCTAGTTTACTAGTTTGTCTAGATTACTAGTTAGTAAATTTTACATTGACGCGATTGTTAATTAATTAATAAAATATTTCTTTAGTTATCGCTTCCTATTAAAAAAAAATGACTTGTTTAAAAAAACTCAAAACTTAAACGTCCTACTATTCTGCTCAAAATCGAAATATTATTTATATAAACTTTTTTGTAGCTCTTGAAGTCTGCTATCACCCTTATTAATATTTTCCTCTACCTTCAGGAAACCCTGTATATATATATATATATATACAGTGTGTCTTGTATGGTATTTATATTTAAAGGAATGAAAGTAGTACACCTTAAGATAAGTTGACCAGATTTTATTGTAACATGGGTAAAACGAGACACAAATGACCGGGAAGGGAGATTAGTTGGTAAAGTGGGACACCATTGACCGGGAGAAGTTCTTGATTAAAATTTAGTTCATTCATTAAGTCCAAACAATGTTAGGAGGCTGGGTGGCCGAGCGGACTAACGCGCGTGCACAGAACCGCGTGTTGGCTGACAAACTGATCTATCTGACCGAAGTTGCAGATAGAAAAATAATTAGGAGTTCAAATCCCGGTGCCCGGTGGGACTTTTAACTCGGCATAATTCTCCGCCCTCTCCCACGGTCCGAAAATAACCCCGTGTAGCCTAAAAGACAAGGAAGGGAGGGGGAAAAAAAGTCTAAACAATATGAGGGGCGGGGTGGCCAAACACCGCGCGTTGCCTGGCTACCCGGATATAAGATAATGTGATAAAATAATCCCGAGTTCGCGTCTCTTTGTGAAGGGGGGCTTTTAACTCTGGTATTAATTTCCCTCTGGTATTTACCCTTTTCCTTATCTATATAATTTTTTTTAATAACCATACATCATTAAAAGGATCATTTTCGGGTTGTTTATCATCATTAAGTCCGAACAATAGTGGTCGAATTTTAAAAATTGGTCAACTATTCGAACTTTGCTAAGCAATTCTTGATAATCAGTTCTAAACAATCTATTAATAAGTAAGTAAGTAAGTAAATATTAATTTGCTGTTAAAATTTAATGTTATAAAATTAACAAAAATAACATAAAACCCATATCCTAGAGAAATAGCCACATGGCCGTCGAAAACCGTATATTCTCTTCCCGTTCTCCGACAGTTCCCTAGTTTGTCGTGCAGTCTTTCTGAAAATCGGAACTCAAAACGCCGCGGGATACGGGACAAATTGTAAAAAAAAACGGGAATGTTCCTCTAAGAGCGGGACGTCTGGTCACTTTACCAATGTATACATATTTACAAAAAGTGGTGGGACCACCGTTTCAATTTTCGTTGGGAATTTTAGGGATCAGTGGAACAAGATAGGGATTGTGCAAGAGGGTTTGAATGATATACAAGATTTTATTGAAATTTGGGGTATTTGTCTTGGGTAAGATCAAGGACAAATAATATAATATATTAAGGTCACGATGTAGTTTTGTTGGCTACATAGAATGGGACATTGATCATTGTTCGAAACGATTTCCGAGTCCGTTGATCCCCTTTTTATCAAATTATTATCGAAGAGAAGAATAGTTGGGGTGATCAGTCAAATAAGAAGGCAAAAATAAATGATACTATTTATTTTGACATTAGCCGACGTTTCGACCTGAAGTTCAGGCCATCATCAGGGCTAGGAAAAGAACTAGATAACAAGGTATGAGAAACATAAGTAGTGTAGGTAAAACAAATTAAAGTAAAATTCAGTTGTTATAATAAGGACAATAGTAAGAACAAAGAGATAAATGATAATAAGCGTTTCTGACCTCTATATTCAATTCCACAGGACAAAAACCTATGAACGTTCCTTCTTAGCCCGCTCCGTCTCCTACTGGAATTCTTTGCCACATAACATCCGTCATGCCTCTTCCCTGTCAACTTGCAAATACCTCGTTTTCCAATATCTCCTTACATCCCAAACAGAAGATTTACCACCATAAATTTCATTTTATGAACTGAATTTGCGTGAAGTAAATAGTGGTGCCTACTGTTTAAGTTTTAACATAAAACAGCAATGATCTTTGTCACCTAGTTTGACTATTATTTTTACTATTTATGTATTTTTCTCTTCTCCTCAGGTTGTACTTTTTCTTTCGGGTATATATGCTTATATTTTATATTTTTGTCTTTATGTGTGCCAATATGAGAATGTACGTATAAATAGTTCCTTTTATTTATTTATTTTTTTTCCATTACACCACAAGTATCCTAAGATTTTATTTTATCTTAGTGTCTGCATATTATTATATAAACCACTGTAGATATTATTACATTTTGTATTAAGTTAGTTTTCTATTAGATAGCCTATTGTTTATAAATTGTGTAGTTATGTATATATAAATATGTAATTACTCTTCTTTTTTTTCCATCACAATTATCTAATTTTGAGAAGATTTTATGTTCATTTGTATATATATTTTATTTTTTATTTTTTACTGGTTACATACTTTTTAAACAATGTATATAATATTAAAATTTTTATAAGTCCCAGAATAAAGTTTAATTTTCTATTCTATTCTATTCTATTCTATTTATCAGAGTTTAATTTCCTTCCTGAGCATTTGTGATTTTTGTTTTTAGAGAGTGAAAGATCCTAGAATAAAACATAGGGATCATTTTTACTGGTCCATTTGCATACCCTCGGGATGTGATCATAATGACTTGGAAGAGTCCTTGCAAAGTGCGATCATCCCCTACTTTGAGAGGAGTAACATAACCGTCAACGTGACTGTCGGCGAATTCAACTGCGAAGAAGCAAATCCATCAGTGAAGCTATCTTCGGGAACATTGGCCTATCTGTAAGCTCTTATGGAATTTTTTTTCAATTAAACACTTTTCATTAATGTCTAATTTATATTTATATATATATATAATACGTAGAGATAGAAATACTTACATATAATAGGGTATATAAAAAAAAAGACCATTTTTCAACCAAATATTTGTATTACTATTATTAGCCAATTGCTCTATCCCACTCTCATAGCATCCTTTGGAATGGCTGTCAAAGAACTCTTGGACCGCTTTTTCAACTTCCGCAAAATTATGAAATTTTTGCCCTTGAAGATCTAAATAATCTAGGGTCATGGATCTAAATAAGTTGTAATCCAGTGGTGCGAGGTCTGGACTATATGGTGGATGAGGCAGAAGTTTTTCAGACAAGGGTTTTTCAATAAATTTTCAGACAGTGCGCTGGTCAAGGACACCTTCTCCTTCATATTTAATAATTTCGCGGGTTAATCATTATGATTTTTTGTTTCCAGCAATGCCTTAAAATTACGAGAATTTCATAAGACACTGTCATGTTTCTTCTTTGAAACAAATAACTAAACTGAGGCTTTTTTGAAGGGTTCAAATGGATTAAATGAGCTGAGAGAATGCTCTAAAGGGATTATTAAGTATTGGTAAGTATTAGATAGGATTAAAATATTTAAAGTCCTTTGAAATCTTGAATTTGATAACACGGTCATTTTTTTTTATACACCCTATTATTATCGACATATATTTGTGCATAAATATATATATATATATATATATATATATATATATATATATATATATATATATATATATATATATATATATATATGTACAGCATTCGGTGTCCAAAATATGTACAATACATTATCCTAAACGTTCAGATGAGAACCGGAACTAGAGGCAGGCAATTGGGGCACATGCTCCAAGCTGCAAATTTCAGACGAGATTGGTTTTTAAGTTAAGAAAACATTTTTTTTACTCTTTTTGACCTTAATTTAACCAATAGAACGACTAAACCTTATACGATTATGATATTTATTTTTAAAAATATTACTTAAAAAATATTGTTATAAAAAACCATTTGTTCTGTCAAAATACCAATTCAAGCAATATGGTTTATACATAGTTTTGAACTTACCATTATATAATAATGATACATAAATAATGCCGAGCAACATGGTCTGGGTAAATTAAAACGAATGACCCTATATTCACAAATTCAATCCTGAAGACTTCTTTTTCTCCCACGTGTCCTATGATGAATTACTTTCCACCATCCTAAAATCCCACACCAATGATTATGGTCCCGACAATATTCCTGTAAAACTAATAAAATCCAGCCTTCCTGACCTTATTCCTGTTCTTTATCATATCTACAATTTTTCACTGCAGAACTCCATATTCCCATCCTCCTGGAAAACCGTCCTAGTCCGACCTTTGAATAAAATTGCCAATCCTACCTCACTGCACGACTTCCGTCCTATTTCTCTCCTATCCAACCTCTCAAAGCCGCTAGAACGCCTTGTCCAAAATCAGCTCTCAAACTTCCTAGAGGAACGTTCCTTTATCAACCCATGCCAATCTGGCTTCCGACCGGGCTATTCAACGCAATCTGCTCTCCTTAAAATAACCCATGACCTACAAAACTCCATTGAACACCAAAACCTTACTATCCTCATCCTTCTAGATTTTTCCAAAGCGTTTGATACAGTTGACCATAACATCCTTCTTACCAAATTGCAAAATCTTCTTCTATCCAACAGTGTCCTGCTTTGGTTCAAATCCTTCTTTTCCAACCCTCCCAGTATGTAGTACCTGATCAACCTCCTTCAAACACACTTCCCCTCTCCTGTGGTGTCCCTCAGGGTTCCTCTCTCTCTCCTACTCTGTTTGCTATTTACATCAATGATCTTCCCCTACAGATCCGTCACTCCCGATACCACATCTATGCAGATGATTTCCAAATATACCTTTCCTTTCCACCCTCCGACCTATTATCTGCCACAGAAAAACTTCAAGAAGACTTAGATGGAATTTATGACTGGGCAAGAACAAACAAGTTGAAGTTGAATGCGGATAAGACAAAGGCAATCTTAATAGGCTCCAATCACCTCCTTAAAACTGTTCCTACTATTCCAACTCTGTTCCTACATAATAACCCCATCAAATTTCACCCCACCATCAAAAATCTTGGAATAACCATTGATCAAACGCTTTCTTGGAAAAATCATATATCCAATATTTCCCGCCGTACCATTTCCATCCTAAAACGTCTTAACTACTCCCGTCACCTATTTCCTTTTGAAACCCGTAGGTTCCTAGTCACTTCCTTAATTTTTCCCCACTTTGACTATTGCTGTACGGTATATGGGGGCCTCTCTGGGGATCTCGAGGCGAAACTAAAACGTTTGATAAATTGCTTTGTACGATTCATCTTCGGTATCCCAAGGGACGCCTCTGTTTCCCATTTTTACGCGGAGTTAAAGTGGCTTTATCCTTCCTACCGTCGTAAGTTTTTCCTGGCATCCTTCCTCTTTCAAGTCATCCAATCCCACCGTCCCTCATACATCTCCGAGCTCCTTCAATTCAAATCCTCTGTTCGTTCCCGCAATACTCGTTCCCGGTCTTCTGATTTATACATAAGGGCCCACCGAACCGCTGCTTTCGACAAATCGTTCATTATCCGATCCTCATCTCTATGGAACTCCATCCCTTCCCATATCCGTCAATCTAATACCCTTCCTACCTTTAAATCCCGCCTGTTCAATCATTTCTTATCCATCCAGTCCCCATAAAATCGTAAATAGATACTACTGAAAATATGTACATAAATTATTAGTTCGTTCTTCATTATTTGTACTCCAATTTTTGTTTATCTATTTTTTTCTTTTATTATCAACTGATCAAAATTGAAAAGCAACTTATATGTATATGTGTATATATATATATATATATTATTTTTTTTAACCAAGACTGTTCAATTAATCTGTATTTTTATTTATATATCTCTGAGGCTCCTTAGCTATCATTTCTGTCTTCCTATATTATTCTAAAGGGACTCGTCCCAGAATAAATAAAGTATTATTATTATTATTATTATATGATTAATAATTTTTCATCAAACCTCAAACAATTCATTTACTTCTTACCGCTTTGTAACTCGGTATTGTCAATATCAAGTTAAAAGAAAATTAGCTCAAGAAAAATAATTTTTCAACGTAAATTGTAGAAAATTTAAACTTGAATAGAAACATACCTGCGTAGTCTTAATTAAGCAGATATTAAGTGGAAAAATAGATTCCATACTTTTGCGGATTTTTTTTTAATTTTACCCATTTTTAAAGGTGTATTGACTATTTCCTTAAGAGTTTAGAATATATATATATATATATATATATATATATATATATATATATATATATATATATATATATATATTTCATCTCTTAAAAAAAAAAAAAAAGTTTAGCGTTAATCAAATTGTCTAATTTGACTAGGCTGATAGGCATATTTCCGAAATGTAACCTTTTTCAGTTTTGCAGGCAGTAACACTGTTGTTAAACACTATTAAATTTCCTTAATATTTTCATGAGTAAATCAGAGTTTTATTCACCATAACTTTGTTTTTAGTCCTTTATTTTTTCACTGTCATTACAGATTCACATTGGCTGGTTTCACGCTGTTAACGTTTATCGCTACACTTTTGCACTACTTCGTGTACAGAAACGAAGAGAAAGAAATAAAAGGTAGCAGTTTTTACCTCATGTTGTTATTACTATGGTATTTACTACCAATAATATGTACGTTTTCATATTTTTAAGTTTTTTTAAAATACATTTTTGTTTTAGTTAACTTATTACTGAAGTTTTCGTTGCTCAAAAATTGGCCAGCGTTATTCGAACCAGAAAGAAAAAAAGAATTGCAATTCATAAGTGGTATAAAAGTTCTTTCAATGTTCTGTATTATCTATGGGCATAGGATGTTGATAAGTTACGCCTTTCCTGTATTGAATGCCGAGGATCATGAACAGGTAATATAATTTTCAGTTTTTCATTTCTGACCGAGAATAATACCCAATAATAATTTAATAATTTCATTAAAATTATTATTAATACATTAATGTTTAAAAATGCAATAACGAATGTTATTTCTTCCATTTTTTCATTAGGGTAAAAGCACCAGTAGCTGACAGTGTACAGATACTTGGCACCCTCCTCGAAAAATGGGAATAATAAGATTTCAGGACCTCCCTACAACTCTATTTCATAAATTGTTGGTATTTATATTTCCCTCGTGGTCCACTTAGTGTTTCATGAACAACCATCTATCATTAAGGGAGGCATATTTTATGTTTGGATTTTTATCTTTAACTTCTTAGACTTGTCACATCATTTTTGTTTTGTTTTTTCTTCAAGTATTTTTAAACTATGATTTCTCGTTTTTTAACTTACTTTGGTCATGGGATTGGAAATTTAAAGGGTATCAGCTACCAGAGCCTTATTATGGGGTATTTTTGCCAGTAGCTGACACGACTGTGCACTCTCAAATTAAAAGAGATTTACTTAATATAAAGGGTCTTCAAAATTAAACCATTCACCACACTCTCGTGTGAATTCTCTACAGTGACTAGCATTTATCAAGAAAAATAAAATTTATTTCAAACAATTACAACCTTTTTCACATCCCTGTCATCCATAAGAAGAACATTGCAAATCAAATAGTGTCAGCTACTTGTGCAACAAAACTCTTCTGTAAATTTAAAAACATTGATACATATTTTTTATTTTTAGATATATAATATTCTGTCTCGTGAACAACAGTTATAGTGATAAATGAATACATTCACACCATATATACAGAAAATACAAAATTAACAAAAGTAAAATAATAACTAAATATTAATAAAAAAGAACTATGTACAATAAAAAAATAAAATAACTTAAATATAAGTAAATTAAAAACACAGTCATACCTATATACAATATTGATACATATTAAACATTTTAAATGTTCCAAGATAAAGCGAGGGAGTAAATGCAACAGCAGCTGACATGCTTAAAGACATTTTTTTTAAACATTTACGAATTATAACTTAAATAATGTCGTTATTGTATTTTCTTCATCTCATAGAACTACTTCTCAACTTTCCAAGATTCATTTGAAATAGATGATAAATCCTCCTAAATTATATAAAATTATAAATTTACAAAATAGTTTTGTTGCATAAGTAGCTGACACTGTTTGATTTAGAGTGTTCCTCTTGCTGACAGGGATGAGAAAAAGGATGTAATTATGCGAAATAAATTTTATATTCTTTAAAATAGATATTAACAAAAATTACCTTAAACTTATCATGAAACAAACTTTTCCGACTAATATTTATCGATAAATTTTAGTCGGAATTTAAAGAACCAGTTTTAAACAATAGCTAAACCTATTTTTGCTTTGTATTTAAGTCACACCACTAACAATTTTTTTTACCTATAGAGCTGCGAATGGCCCCATTTTCGTTTTCCTTCTTAAACTTTTTCCTTGTGGCTTTCAGCGTTGAGCTAAGTGAATCCAACCCAGGATCTCCATTTAGTTCTGTATTTTGCAAGTCTTCATCTCCTGCAATGTCTTTCCTCTCGTTTGTCCCAGCTTGGAAATATAGTCATCAACTGTTAGCTTTTGTCTTCCTCTAGGTCTAGTTCCTACTGGTCTCGCCTCTATAAATTTGCGTGGGTCACAATCAGGGCTCATCCTGCACTCGTGCCCGTACCATCCTAACTGTCTCTTCTCCAGGGTCTCCTTCATTGCCCTTATTTAGTTCTTCCCTTACAGTTTCATTCTTGATTACAGTTTCATCCTATCCCTGTGGGTTTTGGAAGTCACTCTGCGCAAGTATTTCATTTCTGCATACGGCTCCATTTGTTGTCCGGGAGTACACAGCTCTCTGCTGCATACAGCAGAACAAGCATATAAACGGCCTTGAATACATAGAGCTAGGAGGCCCCATTTTTTTGCTACACGTTATATTAACTAAATCTCTTTGAATTTATGCGAGTACAGACCTGTCAGATAATGGCAAAAGGTCCAATATAAGGCTCCAGTAGCTGACACTCATTAAATTTCTTATTCCTTGAACAAAATAAGTTAAAAAAAGATAAAACATAATCTAGAAACACTCCAAGAAACAATAATACGAAAATTGCAAGATGAAATAAAAGATCCTGAAATATTATTATTCTCTTTTTTTGAGGAGCTTTTGGGTTGAAGCCCCCTCCTCCCCAAAATGGTAAAATATTACCATGTCTTATGAAAAAAATATTTAATAATTACTTCTATAACTTTCTTTAATCTTATTTAATGATGCATAGACCCATATATAAACCCATATAATATATATATATATACAGCTAACAAGTCTGTTTTATTTGTTTATAAAAACAACAAGGGAAATGAAAAATCATCAAAACTGAAATCAGGTTTGTGTTAATATAATCTGGTTTAATACGAACAATATAACTCGTTTTAAATTTAAAAATATATACAGCAATTTATGTATGTTAGCATTCAACAGAATAATATAAACCGGTTTTAATTATTTTTAGTAAATAAAAGTAAATATTGATGCAAATGTCGGTTTTCTTACATAGCTGATAGTGTTTATGATGAATTTATATTTTATAATTAAACACTACGTTGGAATTTTTTTTATTTTTGTTTTTAGAGGACTACAGAACTGATAGAAACAATAAACTTGAGTGGGAATATTATAGTTAATACTTTCCTTCATGTCACTGGTTTCTTGATGTTTACAAAGCTACTCAATGATATGGCCAAGAAGAGAGATATTAATGTCATCGTTTATTTAATTTATAAATGGGTCAGGTAATGAAGATTGAAGGTAAATCTTTACCCTTATTTAATAACATATAATAATGCTTGAGGTTATTTCAGGACGACACCAGTCTACGCAGTGATAATAGGTGCTTTTTTATTTTTGAAACCTTTAAAGACGAATGAGCCATTATGGAGAAGTCAAGGACTACCAAGACTTGAGGCGTGCAGAAATAACTTTTGGGCTCATATTTTGTACATAAATAATTATTATGAACCTGGTGCTGAGGTGAGAAACGTTTTATAATAACACGAGATCAATGGAATAGAATAATTTCCAAATATCCTTATTCCGATGACTTGGTTTCAGTGTTTACTACCTTCATGGTATCTGGCTGTAGATATGCAAATGTTTATTATTTGTGTTATAATTGGATACATTATGTCGAAACTCAAGAAATTAGGATATTTTCTTTTAGGGTTATCTTTAACGATATCCTTAATCATACCATCAGTCGTGGTATTTTATAAAGGATATGAACCAATTTTGAAACTGTATATAAAGTAAGTATTGGAAATAATGTTAGATGCTGTAGTTAGTTAGATTATGGTCTTTTCTAATGTTTGACGTTGTTATAGTTTTGTAAGAAATTACCGAAATGAAGATGACTACATAAATGCCTACGTGCCAACACATATGAGGGCTGCTCCTTATATCTTCGGTATGGTGACCGCCAGCATTGCTTACAAATTGCAGAAAAAGGAATTCCATTTCAAAAGTGTAATTATATTATTTTTAAACTATACACAAATTCCATGAGGAAATGTCAGTAATTGAAACGGGGATAATCAACAGAAAATAAAGTTTAGTGCCTCTAACTGCAAATTCATAACTCAATCCGTTGTCTGGATATGATAATATTCAAGTAAACCACGTTTTCCCCAAAATATTCCAATTTATTAAATGTCATTTAACATTTCTCAATTTTTTTTCTCCACTTTGGGAATCTACGATAAATTTCCAGCAATTTATTTTAGGAAAATACCGTTGCCAAGATACAGCAACCAAAGAAAAATAACCAAGAAATAAAAATGAATTATTTTCAAAAATATTCAATGAAATCTTACGCCATGAATTTATCAAGTTACGATCTAAGTTGCTTTATTTCATAAACTTTCCAACTGTGCTCTGGACTTTGTAAAGCTAATCTAATTTTGAAGAGACATTAAAGTTGGAAAGTCAAAAAATGTTGGTTACTTTTAACAATATTCGTACCAGATATTTTTTTTTTTTTTTTGTCCTGAATGATGGGTCCAAGAATCTGACCACCAACTCTCAACCGTATATTTATAGAAAACTGATACTTCTAGTTTAATCCTATAGCTAGATCAGCTGATTCTATGGACTGATAAAAAGATAAGGAAATTCGACTAAGAACTTTTTTAAAATAACTCATATTTTTTTTTATGCTTATTTTTCATTGACTGTTTTGATAACTTCATAGTGATATTTCCTTACACATCGATTGCTATATTATAGACTATTCATCGTAGATTCGGAAAGTGATGACAAAATTGAGAAATGGTCAACTACATTAGAGCAGTTGTGATATTTATTGGAAAATGGATTTTGTTTTGAGTGTGCAGTGTACGTTTTAGGTAGAATATATCCCCTCAGTTTTGTCATTTCTTACTGAGACATCACATTGGTTGATCCAGAGGGGTGGGAGCTGAAGAAAAAGAAAATTTAAATTTTTATATTTTATTTTATTATATATTCTACATACAATATAATGCCGTCTTATAAGCTTAATCTATTATTTATATTTTTGATACTTGTGCCACTCTAAAGACAATTTCTGGATCTGCCCCTGGGACACTATCTTGTGTATATATATGAAGATAGAAAAAATAAGAGATATTAAATGATTTATTTGCTTTATTACTTTTTAGGTACAGATGATAGTAGGAGTTTTAATAACATCTATTTTGTTGATTGGAACTCTGTTTTCTTCTTGGATATTCTACATGCCAGACAGAATTCCATCAGACATCGAAAGAATAGTTTATCCATTTGTTCAAAGAACAACCTGGTCTCTTGGAATATCCTGGTTAATTATATCATCCTTTCTCAATGGATATGGTATGCTTTTTTTCTTTTTTTTTTTTCAACTAAAGATTGCTAATTTATGAAATCATACTACAATGTCTCCATATTTATTAATGTGAGTTACTTCAACTTTGATTTTCATTGAAATTTAATTATGTTACTTGATTTTCATTGCAAGTAAACGATTGTTAATTAAATTTAATCAAATTATTTAATACATGATTTATTATTTACCTTGTCAAAAAATAATGTTTAAAAATTAGTTAGTTGCAACATAATATTAAATATCTTGATAAAGAGTCATGTATCTTCCTGGAGTAGATTAAGTGGGAAGCAGTCTAATCAACTGCTTTTATCCCCTTATAGCTAATGTCACACTAGGCCCTAGGTCTTAAAATATCATAAATATTTTGAAAATCACTGAAAAGAATCAAAAAGCCTCCATAAACTAATGAGACAAATTTAATTATAAATCTTAAATTTATGAATTTTAAGTGTATAGAAGTATGAAGATTTTACCCATTATTGAAATAAAAATATATAGTGCAGTTATGAAAATATTAGTGTGTGTGTGTGTGTGTGTTTGTGTGTGTGTGTGTGTGTGTGTGTGTGTGTGTGTGTGTGTGTGTGTGTGTGTGTGTGTGTGTACTGTTTCTTTTACTTATATACATTAATGTCTGCCTTTTAACTGTTACATGAGCAATTGTATTCAAATGTATTTGTTTTTTTAATATTGTCTTTGGGTGCACAGAGTTTGTTAAAAGGTGCCTCATTAGTGTTGATAACTTACAGGTTACATCGTCAAAAGGATTCTTAGCTGCTCAATTTTTATTCCACTGAATAAATTGACACTGTGTGTCATGTTAATTCATCCTTTGATACAAGGTTATTCTTTGTTAATTCAAAGGCGGCCAAGCTACATAGACACCTCTGTTCTAGTAAGTTACAACATATTAATTGCACTTTATCCAAAACATTAGTGTACTTTTATTAACTAGTGTAGTATTGATTAATAGTCATATTATTTATATCCTAGTTTTTATTTATTTTCATTTATATAAAGAATACTCGATAATTATCATTGGGAACAATTTGTGTAACTAATAATGTTTTTATACAATAATTAATTAATTTTATTATTATTGTATATTATAATTATTAATTATTAAATTAATAATTGCTTTTTCAAGGTTTGGATGGCTGCTGGTGATCTCTTTATATCTTACTTCCTGAGTCTTATTGTTTATTTAATTGTTGAAACACCACTTGCACAACTTCAAGATAGCATTTTGAGGAGGATACTTTTGAAAGAAAAGTGATATGTATTTATGTATGTATATACGGTTTATACATCACTGAAATGATGGTGTACCAATGATTGTTATGTCAGCATTTTCAAGATTTGTTTTTATTGTCAGGTCTGCTGATACTGTTAAATAAAATTGAAATAATAAGTAGTAATGTCACTAGTTCTTTTTGATAATACTGTGTATTAATATATACTATATATGTGAAAACAAGGCAATAATAAATTCTTTGTGTTTTGTTAAGCTCGATATTATTTTTCAATACCAATGAATTTATTACTCTTGAATAACCTATAGTAAAGTTTTCTTAAAATACCTTAGAATCGAAATGACATTTATATCTTGATATAATTATTTCCTAGAGATAAAAAAAATAATTAAAATAAATATACATGTATATTAATGTATGAATTATAAATATACATAAGTTGTAAGTTTACAATTGTAATTTTTTTTTTTTTTTTTTACTACAATATATCTTGAACTTTCTTCATGTATATTATATTTCAATTCCCAAGCAATAATTATCCTAGATCTTTGTACAGTAATTAACTTTTAATTGAATCTCAACTATTTCAAAAGCTAAAGATTGTTTGTGTTTTATTATTTAAGAGATATTTATTTTTTTAGCAACAAGCCACTCAGCCCCAATAATTTCATATAATTCTTGGAATAAGGTTTGTGAATTAATCAATTCACATTGTGTAACAAACAAAAAAAACTGGTAAAAATTGTAGCTTGGAATCTAGTTAATGCGATGAGATACAAAAATTAAGATTTGAAAGGCATTGTCAGATAATAGTTGCATTGATCTTTGTAATTAATAATAGACAAGGGAGCCACTTCAGAAAAGCGTTTGGCTCCGTCTATCACGATCAACTATGGCAGGCATTACAAGAGCATGGTATTAATCGTGTTTGCATATATATATATATATGTGTGTGTGTGTGTGTGTGTGTATATATACAATTATTTTTGGGGGGTTGGCCCTATAGACCATGAAGTTCTTTGGCCGTGAAATGTGGCCTCCTTACAGATGTATGTTGCTTTCGGGAGCTCAGATAGCCTGGAGGGGATCATCCAACTCATGGTGCAGCGGCAGGCCACCAGTAGCTACATAGCCGATCCCTTTGGGGCCAATCTGGCAGTGTCCTTCCCATCGAATATATAAATGGAAGGGAAACTTCCAGCAGCTGCTTAATCAAGGGCACCCCACAAACGAAGAAGACATTTATCACATTGAGGAAATAGATTCCACTTGAGGTTGAAAAAGGCAGATATTCTGAAAGTCGATAGCTATCGGCAGGCTTAAAAGAAGAAAGGCTCCAGGAATAGACATCCTACCATCAGAATTGTTCAAGGATGGGAGAAAAGAACTCAGAGCCAAGCTGTTAGATCTAATCCAGAAGATATGGGAGAAGGAACGGATACCAGAAGCATGGAACACAGGGGTGATCTGTCCTATCCTTCAGAAGGGCTCCATGTATGAATGTGGCAATTACAGAGGCATAGCATTTCTTACGGTTGCCTATAAAATAATGAATAATATTCTGCTAAATCGGATATATCCGTATTATGAAAACATAATAGGCGACCATCAAAGAGGATTCAGAAAAGGGAGGAGTACACTAGATCAGATATTCATCCTAAAACAAGTACTTGAAAAACGGTGGGAAGTAGATTAGGACGTGCACGCTTTATTTGCCGACTTCAAACCAGCCTATGACAGAAACAGTCTCTGGAAGATCATGACTGAGCTATTTGTTCCCGGGAAGTTAGTGAGGTTGACGAAGGCGTGTGCTAATGATCCTAAATGCAGGGTACTAATACAAGGAGAAGTATCTGAAGCCTTTGAAGTTCGAACGGGTTTGAAGCAGGGAGATGGACCCTCACCAATGTTGTTCAACTTAGCCATGGAGAAAGTAATAAGAACTAGCATGTGCAGATGATATAGCTGTCCTCGAAAGTAATCAAGAGGATGTTGAGACACTCGCTCGGACTCTGTTATAAGAAATAGAGCAAATCGGACTAAAAGGCAATGTAGATAAAACAAAATACATGATAGTTAGCTGAAACATCCACCCTAATAACATGATCTGCGTGGACTCTTAAGTCATTCCCGAAAGTAGAAAGATTCAAATACCTCAGCCCAACACAAACCTCAATAAATGATCAACTAACAGAGATAGACCAGGAAATAACAAGTGCGAACAGATCTTTCTTCTCTCTTTCAAGAGTACTTAAATCCATAAATATAAAAATAAGGGTGTATAACGCCGTGATTCAGCCAGTTCTGATGTGCGGTTGTGAAACCTGGGCTCTAACCGGCACACTAGAAGCCAGGATTGAGAGATTCGAAAGAAAAGTTCCAAAAAAAAATTGGATAAGAACCTTGACACATGGAGGAGAAGGAACAATAAAGAACTGCTGAAAGAAACGGGTCAGTCAATATCTCATGATATGAAGGCAAGGAGGTTAAGATGGGCGGGGTATGTAGCTCGTAGCAATCCATCAGGACGTCTTTATACAACAATGAATGCCAGATTAGTAGGCAAGAGACCACGTGGGAGGCCAAAAACCAGATGGATATATAGATACGGCTGAGCTTCATGCCGCAAACTGGAAACCAGTAGCCCAAGATAGGTAGAGTTAGAGAAGGCTGGTTCAGGTGGCCAAAGATCTACAAGGTCTGTAGAACCAACCGAAAAAAATAAATAATATATATATATATATATATATATATATATAATATATATATATATATATATATATATATATATATATATATATTGTTTATTCAATAGTTTATTAAATAATAATTAAATGACCTTATTCCCAATTAAATAGTTAAGTTCAAATATATATATATATGTGTGTGTGTGTGTGTGTGTGTGTGTGTGTGTGTGTGTGTGTGTAATATATATGAAAACAGTAGGGCTTACATAATCATGGATTCAACAAATAAAACATTTTAAATTCGAAGACGTCAGTTTTATTTAATTACCTACTAAATTATGATTTTAATAACCTGAACTGGGAAGGAAAGGGAATGACTATAAATGGGATTAAGTTATCGAATTTGAGGTTTGTGGACGATATAGTTATTTCTACCAATTCATTAACTGAGATGAAAATAATGATCAGCGAGCTACTTGAACAGTGGGAAGGCTTGGGTTTGATCATTAATGTTGATAAAGCAAAAATAATGATAAATAAAAATAATTCACAGAAAGTTAAAAACCAAGAAATCAATTTTGTCGAGAAATGTATTTATTTAGGACAATCCATCTCATTTAAAGATAGAAAAGATGAAATAAATAAAAGAATTAACATGGGATGGAAAAGATACTGATGCATGAAACACATTTTTAAAAATCAACTACCTTCAGGATTAAATGTAAAGGTATTGAAAACATATCTATACCCAGTAATTTTATATGGATCCCAGACATGGCCAGCAACAGAAAACTATTTTGAAAAATTAGCGAGGACACAATTGTAATTTTTAAGAAGTATGATAGATATCAAAAGAAGAGACTTCATCAGCAACAAAAAAGTACAATCTAGGATTAAAGTTAAAAGCCTAACAAGCAAACAGCCTAAGCTCCCAGTCAATTACAAAAGACTCATATACATGACTACAATAAGACCTATTTGGACTTACGGAGTTGAGCTCTGGGGCTAAGCCATCGAATTCCTCTCATATCCAATCCTTACAATCCAAAATCCTTCGTAAAATCCTCACAGCTCCTTACTTTGTCACAAACAAAATCATCCATAACGACATTAATGTTCCTTATGTTTCTGACCTGGCCCAATCTAGATACCTATCCTTCCATAACAAACTTCAGAACCATCCTAACCCTCTCGTTTCTAACCTTGCTTCCTTTTCGATCCCTGACAACCCTCCAAGGCGTCTGAAAATAAGATGGCCTCGAGATCTCCTTTTGTAAATACATTTTTAGAGTGCTACCAGTGGGTAGTTTCTTAACAAGTGATTTCATGCTATTATATTCTTTTGTTCACATTTACTGAATGTATTTTTACGTGAAATATATTTGTAAATATCATCAATAAAAATATATATATATATATATATATATATATATATATATATATATATATATATAAATATATATATACATAAACACTAACCTACCTGCAATTTACATTGAATACAAACATTGTGCCCACCACTCAAGAAATAACCTAGAATTTAGTGCCACAGCGAATATGAAAGGAGCGGTCAGAGAAGTAGGATCGGAATATTAGATATACGTACCGTGGTAAATGGAATATAAGCTTGAAGAGCACTCTGTCATACCAGATCAAAACCCTAAGCAATGTCCAGAAGTGCACTCGAACAATATTGCTTCTTTTCTAGGGCTGAGGATATATGGTCAACAACTCGGAGTCCTTGTTGGACAGTGGAATGTTGGGAACGAAATCCCAATTGATGGGTAGGCATTTTTTGGGATTCTATTATGGGTAGGATTCTTTTCAGTAGGATCTTTTCAAAAATGTTCGATAGGATTGGGAGTAGGCTAACTGGTCTATAGGATGATGTATTGTTTGGCTGGTTTCAGGAAAAGGACGATAGTGGAATGTGTCCATAGGAGAGGGATGTGGGTAGTTCTTAAGAGGCAATTATAAACATATGTAAGGAATATAATGATAGGTTTGGTTGGAAGTTGTCGAAGGATCTGTGAGGTTAGGAGGTCATCTCCAGGAGATTAACGAGGAGTGATTTTGCGTAAAAGGTATTTGACATCAGACGGATTAACTGATTTAGGTGGTATGGAGAGTGGGATTGGTGAAGAGAGGAATTTTACTTTTGCAGTATGGGTGAAATGGGATTCTGGATGAGGAGTGAATGTTCTAGAGAGGTGTCTGGCGAATTCCTCAGCTTTGCCTTCATCAGACGCTGCCCAGAAGCCATCACATCGACGGAGGGGGTGGAAAATATGATGGAATTTCAGGATTTTTTGGTGGTTTTCTAGAGGGAATTGTCATGAACAGAGAGGGACGTAAGGTAGGAATAGATTTGGTATAGTTTATATATGGTATAATAGTTTAAAACCGGCAATAATCATTAATAACAAACATATGATACTATACATAATTTACTATTTAACAAACTAAAAAGAATCGGATACTGATCAATGATGATCATGCATTAGATTGGGATCTGAAGGATACTAATTCTTGCTTTAATAATTATAATAGGCTTAGCGAACCCGATGATTCGAAGCCGTCACTACCAATTGCTTATTACACACCTCCCTCCACCGCTCGCCATCCAAACGCAGTCCCTTCAGATCGGCTTTAACACAATCTTTCCACCTTCGCTTCGGTCTACCATTCGGACGGTTACCATTCGGTACAGCAAATATTTAACTTGTAGGAATTATTTTGTTACCGAGCCCAACAATTTTACAAGCCCATTTGATTCGACGCAATGTAATCACCTCAATTATATTAACCGGATACAGTTCACGCAATTCAGCTTTGTGTAACCTTCTGAACTCTCCTATTAACTAATCCTTATTTGGTCCGAATATTCTACACAACACTTTATATTCAAAAACCTTAAGACGTTGTTCATCCCTGAATGTAAGTGGCCACGTATCACATCCCTAAAGAACCGTAAGTAGGATAACGGTTTAATAGGTTCTAATTTTTAAATTTCGGGACAGGAGGCGCGAGCTAGTTTTGTCACAGAAAAATAATAAGCATTTCCCGCCTTCAGTCTAATTTTTATCTCTTCTTCAATTTCGTTTTGTCTTGTTATCGTAGACCCTAGATACCTAAACTTCTCAACGTGCTCGATGTGTTTCCTTTTGCATCCTATCAGCAATACCAGTGTACATGGAAGTACCTCCAGAGAAAACGGTATTGGCTTACAAGTCCTTCTTATGTCGACATCACATTTCATGATTGAGTTGTAAGTGGTCTCATGGATACCACATGCCTCCATACCCAGGAAAGAAGGCTGGAACAGAGCTTCAGAGCATCGGAACCTTTCATTTCCAATTGTGACAACTTGTCCATCAGGAAGTTCATAAGATTGTTCTAGGGAACTTAAACTGGCAGCAGCGGTCATTTCCTGATCAAAGTCAAGAGCAACATAACACAATTTTTCCGTGATATCCCTCACGATTTCTCTCTCAGAAGTATTCGTGAATGAGTATCCCCTTTCATACTGCTCGGGGTGCATCATTCCAGCAAAACCGGCTTCGCACATACCCGATCTATTGTCTACAACTAAAGCAGCAACTTCTTCGTCACACATTTTGTTTAAGGCTTAATTGAGCTTATAGAAAAAAAAAGTTTACAGCAAGAGCCAATGCGTACACCAGACCAGAATTGACGGAAATGAAGGAGGTACGGAGCCGTTGGAGAACAACACCGTTGTACTCCATTTTTTCTCCAATATTTGCCGTAAAGAAAATATGTGATCAATGGTCGAACGATTCCGTCAAAATCCGATAATTTCCTCAGCGTATTCCGTGATTCAACTAGTTGATGAATGTGAATATTTTATAACATACCGGAAGGAGTGAATTTCTTTGTTAGTAATTATAGTCCGTCCTCAGACCCTTTTTGTGAACCGGAATAACAATAGATTCTTTCCATTCTTCAGGTAATTTCTCATTCTTCCAGATCATTTTAACTAACAAATGTATTTTAGAAACCCCGGCTTCCCCGCATGCCTTAATTAGATCACAAGAAATATTGTCTGTTTCCGCTGCTTTACAAGATTTTAATTTTTCAATAGCTTCATCAACTTTCTCTTTAGTAGGTTCTTCTATTAACGGTTCAGCACTCTGGAACTCAGGAGGACACACATCATAATATCCCGTATTTTAAATAGTATCAAAGTGGTTCTTAAACTTATTTATTATGACTACTGGATCGGTCAGAATAGTACTATTTTCATCCCTAATTGCAGACATGACGGACCCAAAACATTTACGTGATCTGTTTATATCTAACATGTTGTGCATGTCTCTTACGTTATTTTCGATTCTAATAATTTCTATTTCTATTATTTTATTTTTAAGATACTCCCTTTTTTTATTTGTGGGCAATTTCATCATTTTATTCTTTAAGGTTCGAAAGTATTCGAGATTGTCTTCGCTAGGATTATTTAGAATTTTTAATTTAGTAGCTTTTCTTTTATCACACATGTTTAAACAATCTTCATCGAACCACGGTTTGTTCTTTTTATATACCTTTTTCCCAAGATACGAGTTACCGACCGCTTTAATATTATCCCTGATCCCTATCCATAACTTGTCTATTTCATCGCAGTCCTCCTCAGAAGGTTCTAAAGCTTCAAACCTATTCTTCAAACATCTAGCTCGAATTGAGTACTAGGATTCTCGAAAAAACGATACCAAACAGTAAATATCAACTGCTCTTATGTACAGTGAACTGTATTTAGTGAATAATTAGAGATTCTGCAGCAAAATTGGGAAATACTGAGAGACCAGTTGTGAACACAACATTCCCACTAACTGATTCACTGCCATTTTTTTTATTCTAGATATATATATGTATATGTATGTGTATATAGGCATTTTTTTCTTCATTCTAACTATAATTATGCTAGAGAAGATTTTTTTGTTTGGCTCTTTATATATTATTATTTAAATTACTGTATATATATATATAGAATTTTTAGTGTTAGTTTTTATTAATTTAGCCCATTGTTTATGTTTTAACATCTAAATCAATGATTTTTCTTTACATAGAAGAAGAAGGAGGAGAAGAAAAGTAAATTTTATTCTGGGACCTAAGAATAATTATAATGAACAATTTAGTGAAATTTATCCGGCTTACTTACTTTTGGTATTTTTTTCTCAAGGTTTTGCTTTTTCTTTCTCTGTATACAGAGGTTCACAGTCAAATGATACACCTTGGTATTGATAGAAATTATTGAATAAATAAATAGTTCAATTTATATTACATTAAAAACAATAATTTATTGTAATCAATAAACATTATAATAAAGTGTTATTTTCTTAAGTTCTTTTTCTTGTTCTTACGTAATGTTATGTTTTATGTTGTTTTCTTACATTATGTTTCTTGGTGTGGGTAACTATGGCAGCTTCTGGTGTAGAAAATCTTTATTTTCTAGTGGTAATATTCATATGGTATAGTGAATAAACATGTTAACGTAGACATTTTGAGAAGAAATTTGAAAGAAAATGTGCAAAATTTGGGCTAAAAAACAAATTTCATTTTTATCAGAATGATGACCCCAAACATTCTGCTATGTTAGTTTAGTTCATGAATGCCTACTTTATTACTACTCCAAAATTATAAAAACATCATCATAGTCACCAGATCTTAATGGAATAGAACATCTGCGGATTAGGAGAAAAAATTGGAGATAGAAATTGTAAAACACAAAATTTCTAGCAAATAAGACTTAAAAAAATATCTCCTTGAAGATGGAATAGGCTAAGCCCGGAATCACCAAAAAATTTGTTGACTCTATAACAGACTGAAAGGAGTGGTAGAAATTAATGGCTTGCCTTCAAGGTATTGAACTAAATTAATAGTATTTAAAAGTTAATAGGAAGAGAGGTGTATCATTTTTACTGTGAAGACAAATTATTCAGTTTTTTTTTTTACTAATTTTTTTAAATAATCACAGTTAAATATTTTAATTTTATTGAGTTTTTACATATTTAAGATGAGATTATATATAAATTTGTTGAAGAGTTTCTGTTTTTTTAGTTTACTGTAACCATTAAAGTATTTTTCCTATTTTCCTACAGGGTGTATCAATTTCACTGTGAGCCACTGTATATATATATATATATATATATATATATATATATATATATATATATATATATATATATATATATATATATATACATATATATATATATTTTATAGTTGTTTACATTATATTATTTAAATTACTTTATATATTGTTAGAACCTTATTAAGTTAGTTTTGTGTGTGTGTGTGTGTGTGTGTATATATATATATGTGTGTGTGTGCGCGCGTATTCTTAAATAATCATTAATTATTTAATGATTGATTCAGCAATGAGTTAACAGTTGTTTAATTACTATATATATATATATATATATATATATATATATGGTACTTTACGTCTAAGGGGCCGCTACTGACTGCTATCTGCCAATGTTTATAACCTGAACACTGATAACTCCCATAAAGCACTGATAAGCCTTCTTTTACTTCATATCTTCGTATTATTGTATTAAATTCGTATTATTGAAAGTGCAAACAGATACAAAAACAAATTTAATAACAAAAAAAATACTTTTATTTGACGACACATGTATTAATGAAATAATAAAAAAAACACTTTAAGAAGATATGTACATATAAAACATCAAAATGAAATAATAAAAAACACATTTAAAAGAAAATATTTACATAGAAAAGAAAAAATATAAAACGAAATCGGTTTTATAAAAAGATAAAACATTCATCTGTTTCTCGACAAACTCCACCAAACATCCACTGCTGAGATAAAACTCCCCCCACATGATTTTTTCGTTTAGAAAAAAGACTTTCTTTTACTTCAACCACTTTGCCAGGTCCTCCCATTTTTTTTCTTGGCCTGTATAACATGTCATGGGCACAAACCTCTCTTAGACATTTGTTCCACGTTACCATAGCTCTGTTGAATAGTTTCAGCTGCTCTTTGGCCCACTTCATCGTTGTCAAGCTATGGGACCATCCATAAATCAATTTTAAAGCTGTTAAAAACGAAATCCTCGAGCCCTCCAACCATGTTCCTTTCCTTATTGAAAGTTTTGTGTCATAAGTCCTACGAAAGCATCTCCATTTGGCCTTCCTATATATATATATATATATATATATATATATATATATATATATATATATATATAGTAATTAAAAAACTGTTAATTAAACAATTGTTAACCTCATTGCTGAATCAATCATTAAATAAAATATTGTGGTATCAACAAAAATTAAAAATGATATCATCTTGTGGTAACACTGTTTCTGGATGACTCGCGGCCATCTTGTATAGACAGACATCTTTGCTTCAGCTATTAGTGTTAGTTTCAAAGTTTTGTTTTTATCTATATTTATTATGACTACACTTGCTAAAGTGAGATTAATGAAAGACCTCAGAAGGTAAATATTTATAGTACCTGATTCTTATTTATATTTTCATTGTTTCGGGCTGTAGAAATCTAATGTTTTGTGTTTGAACAACCAGCTACCATTATGATTACTTATTAATATTTAGTTAATGTTTAGGGAAAGGGGAGAGGAGTTAAGAATCTGAAGTGTAATTTCGGCTTGATTATAATTTCAGTTAAAATAATAATTGCTAGATCAATAAATTTTAATAAGGTACACATTAGTGATTTTTTTGTAATAAAAGTAAACAGCAATTTACTTGGCATTTATTTTTTTAAAAATTCCTTAACAACTATAATATTTTAGAGGATTGAAACTAGTTCTTTTTTCATTTTGACCAAATATATAATGGATAAACATTATTTATATTCAAATTTGCAATACAAAAAAATATAAAGTTTAATTAGTATTAAAAAAAATATACTACGTTAACATATTATCACATTTTATTTCTTACTTTCTTGGTTAATTCATAACTAAATATATTAAATGATTAAATATCACAGCAGGAGAATGAGAAGAATGATAAAATATAGCCTGACCAGGCACAATGGAGACTTTTCTTAGTGCCACACCCTCATGGAATTCCTTTTAGTGGCCATTATTCCCTGTTGTTATAAGGACATAATTATGCGTTCTTATAATTATATTTCATTAAATTATATATTATAAAACACTTGATTTATTAGTTTATAGTCTTGACCATTCTTTATTAATTATTTTCTCCTCATTCCTTTTCCATAGGTCTAATCTAATAAATAATCACTCATAAGAGTTAAGGTTGCTTAAATATTACTCAGGGTATTGTTTGTTAAAGATTCTTATTGTCCCTAAGAAAAACATAATTTTACGAACAGTAAAAGACAAAACAGTTATTAGACAAGAGGAAGTTAAAGTTTCATTTATTCATAGTTCTCAATGAATTGTTTTTTGTTAACCATATATCAAATAGCTTAGGAAAACATTTGTGTGTGTGTGTGTGTGTGTTTTACCCAGTTGAATTGAAGAAAATAAATTAAATTATTTTTGTTCAGTAGCAGGTGGGCTCATCCAACAATGCAAGCAAAAATATAATTTAAAAATCGTAGATCATATACAAGTGTGGTTGCTGTAATCTGTTCCATGTTTTCATCTTGTCCCCTGGTATTCAACTCTTCATTCCATAAATTCATAACCCCATAAAAATGTGGCCCCCTCAAAAATTGCTAGGAAAATATGCTACAATGTTTGTATGTTCTCTTTGAGGTACATCGTAAACCTATCATATTTCTATTTGATCCCAAATAAAACTATTAAAATATTCTTTTGCTTTACTACATTTATTTCCACCAACTGTCCATACAGGGCTTAATAACTTAAAATTTAATTAATTAAGTTTATTAGTCTAAGTTATATCTGGGGTTGAGCATTAAGATGATAGTTTTAGTTAGTTATGGATATGGAAGGGGCAAACGGAAAATATTACATCAATATGCAATCATTGTTAATTAGGCCATTGATAGAAATGCTTAAATTTACTCTTAATAATATTTAAGATTTTCTAATATTTATTTTACAAACCATTAATCCACTATTGTTATATAGTTTATTACTTTCAGTGTACTTTCTAACAAATGAAATAGGTTATTAACCACGATCACTTAAATATTTTATATTGATGGAAATATAGTTTACAATTGATAAAAACAAGGGAACAAGAGATGGTCAGAAATAAAATATTAAAAAAGTTAATATTTATACTTTAAAACAATAAAATAGCAAATATTTTGAACAGGAGCTAGAATGTGAAAAGTTGACATACAAATATGAAATTAAACCTTTTTGGAGGGCTTCATGATACTAAGTCTTAAAACAACATACTGCAGCTAACATATCTTTCCAAAATACAAAGGGTCCAACTACTTTTTTAAATTACCAATAAGATTTTTAAAAAACCTGTACCACTACAGCCCATGAAGGGTCTTGGGTTCAGTACTATTTAGGGAAAGTACTGTTTCTTAGCCAAAGGTTGTGCAAGGTAGTGATTAGACTGAGATCACACTCAGTCATCAGGTTTCTCCCCTTAATTAATTTTTTAATTAAGGGTACCCACTTTATAGAGGCTGAATGTGCCCCAGGAGGGTCTCCTGGCCCCAGGTTTGCCCCACGGCTGATGAAACAAAATAAATAATTTTTCTACCATGAGCCAGGATTCGAACTGGGAACTTGAGCATTGGAAGATCAGTGCCCTACCACTAAGCTACCCCACTCCCTCCAATAAGATTAAGCTATCTGTAAACTTATACTTAAATAGTATTGTACTCTCTGATACCTTTTTGTTTGGAGTAGATAAGCAAGATATGTTTATTTTATTTCTGATTGCACCCACAATCATTTCCTTGAAATATTTTAAGATGTATCTCATGTAAATATTATTAATGTTTCTCACAAATTATTTAGAATCAACATAATCTGATTTTATCTGACAAAAATTAATGTATAGCAGTTACCACTGGACAAGAGAATATATTTATTTTCATAATATAAATGAATTGTTAACGTTATAATTTAATATTTTATTTGAATTTCATAGAGATGAATATGATACTGAGGACCAAAAGCTTCTCAATTTGTAAGATGTAAATAAAATATATTATATAAAAGACTGTCAAATGGTAAAAAACTTAGACATTGTATATAAATATATATATATTTTTTTTAATCTCAGAGAGTGCCGGTTATTGTGTGTAAGATTTTTCTCTCCAATCTTTCAATACTTTCTAGTTAGGGTCCATGTCTCGGAGCCGTATATGAGAACTGGCTTTATCATAGCACTGTATATCCTTAATTTGAGATTCCTTGCAAGTTTTCAGGATTTCAGTACCTTTAAAAGAAACAAGAAAGATATGCTAGTGGTTGTTATATGCTGGCTATTTTTGATCGTTGGTCATTCATTGAAGTTATTGTGGAATCAAGTTATTTTAATTTGTCTACTTCATAAACATTTATATACACGTATACAATTACAAGTATTATATATATATATATATAATATATATATATATATATATATATATATATATTATCCTTATATTAAACGGTAAGGAGCATATATAAATATATATATTATCTTAATCTTATCTTATTATTTATATATTATATGGGATCAAATCTTTGGTGTAAGAAGAGCAGGCCGGCCATGACTTCGGTGGGAGGACTGCTTAGCTTTAGCATATTGGATATTCGCAGTTGAAGGGCAGCAGCACTTGATAGAAACAACTGATGGTCCACTCTGGAGCAGGTCAAGACTCAACTTCAAGGGTCGTAATGCCAAATTAGGAGAAGAAGAAGAATATATAAATATAAACATATATAACTATAAGGATTCTTGCTTTTATATATATAATTTTTTTCTTCTGTTTTTATATTTTAGGTCTTTTGTCTCCTTAACCAACCTTCTCATCTCTGCCTATCTTGGCTATTGCTTTCCAGTTACCTGCATGCAATACTGCAGCATCTTCCTTGATTTTATCTACCAACTTGTTTTTGGCCTCTCACATGTTCCTCACCTTCTATTGAGGCATTCATTCTAGGCGATTCCTAACGTATTCGTGAGTTACATGTTCCGCCCATCTTAATATTCTTAACTTAATGTCATGAGATATTATATAATTGACCAGTTTCTGTAAGCTGTTAGTTCTTTATTGGTCTTTCTTCTACATGTGTCAGTACTCTGATCTAAGATTGCTCCGGTTATTGTGGACAGGATTTTCATTTCAAATCTGTCAATTCTTCATTCTAGTGTGCTGATCAGTCACCAGGTCTTGCAACGGTAAATCAGAACTTGCTTTATAATAGTATTTATACAACTTTAATTTGAGATTTATTGGAATTTCTAGACCATGGGAAAAGTGAAGAAAGCTCTATTTGCACTTATTATACTCTGGTTAATTTTGATCATTGGTCATTCATTGATGTTATAGAGTCGAGGTATTTGAATTTGCCTACTCTCAAACTGCACTCCTCCATTTTCACATGATGTTGTTTTTGTTATTAAGATTTGAATTTGAAGTATGTTGGCGCCGCTGTTGTGCTGCACTCTGAAGTGGGTGGATAGAAATAACTTGGAATAACCTTCTTCCCTAGGGTGTGTTTTATTATGTTCATGAGATAAACCTGTTTTAGTGCCGAATATTAATAAAAAGTGTTTCTCTTCATTCAAACCTTTTATTTAAAAGGTTATGGGTCCAGTCCGTTACGGTCCACGAGTGTCGAAAACGTTAAGTATCGTGTGGTATAAAACAAATAATCGTGTTGGTGTTACTGGTGTGAGGAGAACCAGAAAACATGACCGTTTCAAAACGACAGTTATTACTGCCTATCCTACAGGATAACCACAATTTTAGCAAGTGGAAATGCCAACTAACGCTAATTTTTGAAGAGAAGCAATTAATTGAAACGTTTGAAGAAAAGCCAGAAGTCCCAACCAATGAACAAAGGAAAAAGGAATTTTTTCAAAAAGAAGCAAATCAAAGTCCGTGATAGTACAGTGTCTCAGACAAATATCTCGACCTAGTAAAAGATTCAGCACGTGATAAAGACATGATAAGAGCTTTAAAAGCTGTATTTGAGAGAAAAAGCATATTCAGAAACTTTATTTAATGAAAAGACTTCTGTCCCTAAAATATAACCCTAATGAAAAACTAGATCAGTTTCTGAAGTTCACTGAGTAATTAGGGAATTGGAAAATGCTGATCGAAATTAGATGACAGTGACAAAATCTGCCATCTACTTTTTGATAATGGAGGACCATTTTAGTGCAGTGATTACAGCTATGGAGACGATGAAACAGGATCTAAAAATGGAATTTGTTAAGTGCTGCTTATTGGAAGGGGAGCTCAAAAACGAAACCAATGGTGAAACCCTATCAACAAAAGGCGACGTTTCTTTCCAAATTACATATCACAGCTGTGAAAAAGAGGGTCATAAAATTTCCAAATTTTGGTACTTCCAACAGAAACATATATTTCATAGTATGTAATTCTGATACTCTAGGCACTTGGACATTTAAACCGATGTCGCTTACTGATTCTAAATTTACCATCCAATGATGAAAAATGTTCCCAGTGCCAAGAAGGAGAAGGAAGAAGACAACCTTTTAAAAACTGTGAATCGAAAACAAGTAAAATAGGTGGTTTAATTCATTCAGGTGTCCTTGGACCTATTAAAACCCTAACGAATGAAGGTGAGAAATACTTCCAAGTTATCATAGACGATTATTCTCATTTTATGGTTACACCTTCTGAAAAATAAAAGTGAGGCACAACAGAATCTTATAGACTTTATTAAATTAGTCAAAACCCAACATGAAAATAAAATTTAACGAATTAGGATTGACAATGGTGGAGAATTTTCCTCAAACTATTTTAAAAAGTTCTGTCATAAGAAGGAAATAATTGTTGAGTATACTATGACATACACCACAGCAAAATTCTTAATCGGAAAGAATGAATTTAACATTACTAAACAAAGTCATAACTAAATTTTCAGACACAGACTTGCCGAGACATCTGTGGGGAAAAGCGATTAGAGCTTCTGTTTATGAATTAAACAGGTCTCCAACCAATGCATTAAATGGACAAACCCCTGCATTTAGATGGTATGAAAAGAATGATCTGTCAAAATTGAGAGTGTTCGGATTAATCACATGGGTTCTAAAATTTCCCCGGAAAAGCCAAATTGAAACAAGAGTGTAAGTGGATGTGTTATATTCCAGGAAAATAATCCAATCCTTTGGGCTTCAAGAAAGCAACCGCCTGTCGCAAGCTAAACAGTGGATGCAGAATAAATCTCATGTAATCAAGAGAACTGGTACACCTCCAAAATGTGTTGACTGATTTACAAAAGGACTCTATAGAAACCTCTAAATTACTAATGGATAATCAAAGTGCAATTAACATGGCAGAATGTTTTGAAAATTGTAAGAAATCTAGACATAATGATGTAAAATTTCATTACATAAAAGATATTGTTGACAAGAAGAAAATAATAATATGTTGATGTTCAGAACAATATTGGTGACATATTTACCAAGGCCTTAAGCCAAAACAAATTTGATTAGAATGAAACTAAATGTATATTGATTTCTGAATTTATTGATTTATTATTGGAGGAAGCTAGTAGACTGTTCTACATATCACGGGTGATAAATATTCAGGACGCAGTCATTATAAAGTTTTTATTAGTGCCGATGTTTCAACCCAAACATGTGGGTCATCATCAGGGCGTGTTTCGAGCACTATGGTAGGCACTGATGACCCACATGTTTGAGTTGAAACGTCGGTAATAATAAAAACTTTATAATGACTGCGTCCTGAATATTTATCACCCATCATTGATTTATTGTTATATTCATGTAATACTATGTAAATTTGTAATGTTGAAATAAGTTAAAATGTTTTCAGTATTTAATTTTTAAATATGTTTAACTTAAGGTGCGGTATTAAGATTTGAATTTGAAGTATGTTGGCGCTGTTGTGCTGCACTCTGAAGTGTGTGGGTAGGAATAACTTGGAATAACCTTCTTGCCTAGGCAATGTGAGTTTTATGATGTTCACTAGATAAACCTGTTTTAATGCTGAATAAATGAATATTAATAAAAAGTGTATCTCCTCATTCAAACCTTTTGTTAAAAACTTATTACCTTCTGTGAAAAGTTAAATTCAGCCATGATACTCCTAAGACTAATTCTGTCATCGAAACCAGAGGCTGTTTTGAAATTGACAAAAAAGGCAAGCAAATTCTGAGCTACTACTTGCCATTGTTTATCTAGTATCTGTTTCAGGATGAAAATCTCATTTAGTGTGTTCTATCGTCTTCTGAGTTCAGCTAATAGTTAGCTCCAGCTACGAATTCTTAAAAATTATTATATGTGTATATCTATATATATATTTATTTTTTTTTAAACTGTTATTCAATTATTTTTTTTAATATTCAATCTTCTAAAACTAATATCTTTATTTTTAAATTCTACAGTTTTCACATACAATATTTTTACTTCCCCATCCATATTAATATCACTTAATCTTCTTTTGCCAACAGAATACAAATAGATCCACCTCCAGGTATAAGCGGTTGTCCTTCTGATGATAATTTGTTCGAATGGGATGCTATTATTGTTGGGTAATTATTAATTTTTTTTTTGTTTTATTTTCTTCATAAATAAAAATATGTAATTCAAACAATATTTCTTTTTGTGTATATGAATATATTCATATACTCAAAGATGGGCAACAGATTCATTGTCCATAAGTTTCCAAAAAATATGTGTCGCTTTTATTAAATTCGTTTAATTATTTGTTTGATAAGTATTTGATTAATTAAACAATTTTAAATGTAAACAAAACCTAAATTCAAAAGATAAAATATTTATTAACTTATTGTATAAAATCCTTTCTAACTAGATTCTTAATTTTATTATTTCTTTGACAAACACATTTTATCGAATCGCTTTATAATTTGGTCCAAATTATTTGAACAAACTATCTGTAGTAATACAGCAAAGTTTACTAATTTTTTATCTTTTATTCAGTCTGATAAAATTTTAATGGTGTTCTGATTATTTCATTTGCTTCAGAAAGTCACTAAGAGTTTTAAACACATAGGAAAATGCAGGCATCTCATGGGCATTCAAAATTTAAAACAACAGAAATAATAAATTAATCAAAATCTGGAGTGTTGCACATAAGAATTTTTTACATATAGTTGTAATATGTAGTGCCCTTAAGTGTGGTATTTTATAATATTATTATTGTCTTCTTCTTTCTTCTTCAAAGGCACAACAGATAGTCCTTGCCCTGTTCCAATACTCTTGCATTGGCTTCTCAGTCTAGCTGTTTCAGAGACAGCCAATTTGCCATCATATCAGCACCTGCCAGCTAACTCTCCATCTTCCTCATGGCCTTCCATGAGATCTCACTTCTGGGTGGGTATTGTACAGCTTCTTGGCTATCCTTTCATTGCCCATCCTGATCAAATGACCCAACCATCTTAGGCATCATATTTTTATGAAGTTTGAGATCCTTAAATCTTCATAGATTTGATATATTTCATTATTTTTTCGCTGATGCCACTATCTATTCTATCTTATTGTGCCATGGACACGTCATTATAATTTCAAGTATAGGGAAATAAGCCTATTAAACTCCAACAAGATTTCTCTATAACCGTCTACTTCTGTATATTGAGAGGAAGCTTGGAGATTACCAGAGTGGATTTCGATCGAATAGATGTACCATTGAACAAATTGTCTCTCTGAGGCAAATGTACAAAAAAATGAAAGAGTTCTGGACTGTCCGGATTCTGTCATTATAGATGATAGAAGAGCTCTTTTAGGCAATGAAAGAATTTGGCATCCCTTCTAAACTCATCAAACTGACTACGTGCACAATGCTAAACACATCAACTAGTGTCAAAGCCAAGCTTATACAGGTATCCCATATTAATACTGGGCTGAGACAAGGTGACACCTTGGCTCCATTCCTATTCAACTTAAGTGTTTAATATTCTTATCCCCCTATAGTTTCCACAGTCTCTGGCATCCCCTTTTTTTATAAATTGGAACAATTGTTGCCTCCAGCCATTCATTTGGGATTTTCTCAGCCTCCCAGATGTGATCTTAGCCACCTTTTTGCATCAATAAACGGTACCACTTCATAAGAAGTATAATTCTATAAGGAGATAATTAGCCGCTGAAGGAAGAGGATATTTTCAGGAAATATAATATGGATATGCGGAAATTTACTATTGAAGTTGATCTTCAACTGTTCCAAGAAGCCTGAAGTGACTAATAATTTTATTATAGTTATCCTATTTTATTTTATTTATTTAAATTTTGTTTCCTTTATTTTTTATGTATACTTATTTTGTTTTTTCTATCTCTTGTGTTTAATTAAGAAAATATGAACTTTACCGTAATCATGTAATGTACAAATTTATAAGATATATGTAATTTTTAATTAAATATGTACATGTATTATGCTTAATACATGGAACATGTAAAATTTAACAAATACATGGCCCTTGTACAGAGTTACTGTATGAGGGAAGAAGATAAAAAAAAAAAAAATTAAACCATATCAATGCTGTGTTCTGTATCCTATGGGACATATATCCTTAAGTATCACAGTCCAGTCTAAGCAGTAGACGGAAATACTGCATTAGGTAAGAAGGTTTAAATTGAATTTAAATAAGAATAATAATTTCATACTTCATAAATCATTTTATAATAATACTTCCATAATAAATCTAACAATCAGCATAATCTAAATATCATTGCTTATATCTTGAGATGATAAGCATTCTATTTAATGCAGATGCATTATGACAACATATTGTCATTTTAAATTTTAAGTTAAATAAAAAAAAAAAGTATATAGGCAAATTTATAATATTTGGTGATCTCTCAGAAAAATTTTATATAATTAAATTATGCTACAATAATTAATTTTTAATAATGTAAAGTTAACTATGGATAATTGTTAAATGCCCAACACGCTTGAAACACCATTAATTTTATATATGGGTCATTTCAAAATTTTGGTGACATATGGGAAACAATTTAAAAAAATAAATGGAGAAATAGCATGTTGTTCAACTTCTTAGTAATCTTTATAGTTGTCATAGGAAGTTACTAGTGTGAGCATACATAATCATCAATGCAATCCTATATAACTCATTTTGAAAACAATAATATTATTTTTTCTCTATTTCTATTTCTTATTTTAGGCTTCGTTAACGCCAGATTATAATAATTTAATTTTATATATTGTGGGGAAAACTTGCATTTTTTAAGTTTTGTTACATTTGATATAATTTGGAATGATGGATTAACTGGCATTGCCAAGTAATAAAACATTTATTTATTATATGTATTTATTGTGAAATGAAAATATAAAGAGTTAGCGGGTCGAATAATGATAAAAATACGAGGTAAAAGCAATTTTTTTTTCGATTTTATTGAATTATGAGAACTGATAATCGGAAACTATAGAAGATACTGCATATAATAAATATAATCACTTCTATTGCAAAATTTGTCTGCTTTGATTTTACATGAGACATTATTATGGCATAGTTGCACTGCTGTAAGTGAAAAACCGAAATAAGTGAACTTTTTGAATCATAAATTCAAATTTTGACTTGAAATCCAGGGCTATGGAAAAATTGACTATTATTTCATGTCTTAAGATAGTAAATACTATAAACTTAAAGAGTTGCTAGCTTTCTATATCCATAGGTCTTCTCTATCTATAAGTTTTCTGTCTATACATGGTCTCTATCTACACATGGTCGTCATTTTGTATTCCAGCAGCTATATGCTGGCAGATGGGAATTTTTCTTATCATGTCTGTCTACATGGTAAATTCATAACATCAAACCTTAGTATGAAATGTCACATTTTTTGCCACGGGCTCCCGGACTAATAGCCATCATACCATTTCTCAATAGCCCTGGATTTTTAGACCGCTACTCATAAAATAATTCACTATTTACAGCTTTCTATGTTAGTATTTCTGGGTTGTGACCGCATCACGTTGTGAGATATCAGCATTTCACATATTTTTTGCTGTGTTATATTTTTCAAAACAATGAATGGGAAATATGGTTCTAAAAGAATAGATTATGAGAAAAAAATATTGAAAAGTTTTCAGTTGGGATTTGACGCTTTTACTGCCCAGTGCTGAAGTGTGACAAAACATTTAGAAATGACTCATATATAAATTGAAAAAATTGATAAGGGTGTATATTTCTTTGAAAAAAAAATGTTGATGTCATTAGTAAAAAAATACCATTAAAAAATCAATTTGTTTGAAATAATGAAATGCAGAATACACACATACACTTGTAGTAATTGTATTGTAATATATTTCTTATATTAAACATCTGATATGTAAAAACACACAACCAATATAATAAAGTAACAGCATAAAATAATTCATGTAACAACAACCAATATTTAAAAATGACCAATTAAACAAAAAAAAGTTTATATTATTGATTGAATGGAATAAAAATAATAAGTAAATTAATAATCGGTAAGGTTCTGCTTTTAAAACTTGAAGTGTTTAGCTCAGTATGTTTTACTGCAACTCTATAACTAAGACATAGGATTCTTCTTTTATATTTAAGAGCGTCATTTAGTAACAATTGCAGTGTTCTCTAATGAATATAAAATTTTTGAATTATTTTTTTAATCATAATTTATCATTTAATATTTTAAACCGTGGTTGTGATGCTATATAAAATAATTGAGATTCAGTTAACATTTATAACATTTATTTTATCCACTGTTTCTGTACCATTATAAACATTAATTTCTACATTTTAGGATGGAGATAAAATAAACAGCTTAGACTAATTGAGCTAACTTCATGTTACAGTTGTCGTAATGCAGAAGCTTGGCTTAGAAGGAGCACCATTAAAAAAAAAAAGGATTTTTGAATTAGAGTTTTTTGAAGTTTTTCTCCTTTTACATTCCACAAAGAATAAAATAGTTTAATAATTTTAAATTTAACATATCTTCAAATTATAGAAAAGTGAGAGTTTTGGTACCAAATAATATGAAATGGTGGTAGTGGACAATCTTAAAGTTTTTCTCAGACACTTGTGATCTAGAAAAGAATGTCGCCAATTTTACTGATATAATAGAACATTAAAATAAAGATGTTTACATGAAATAAGAGAAGGGATTCCAAAATGTATACCTTCAAGTAATTAAAAAAACAAACAATTAATACATTTAAGTAGTAATTTATTTGCAAAAACACTACAGTAATATCCATTCCCAGTATTTCATTTTGCATTAACTTATAATTAACTTTATAGTCAAGCTGAAAGAGGTCATCTTGTCTGATATACCCACAATTGAACCAATTTCATAAAACTTGAATCGTTTTCGTTTTTTATTTATTTTTTCTTATAAATCAAGTTTTGTGTATCTAATTTTAAGTTTGTGTGGGATATTACATTATATGTTCCAGCAAACATTATTGGGAGACCTTCAATAAATTATTTGTTTTTAGGATTTAAAACTAATGAAAGATGAATAAAAATTCAAAAATATATACAAACAAAAAACCAGATGAAGCGCTCTCAGACATGGACACAGACACAGATACGCA